ATTGTCTTAGTACACACTGCGAATCATCCGGTTAGATGAGTCGCGGACATTGAACTTGAAATACAAAGGAAATATCAGTTAATCAGTTCAGATTGAGGAAAGAGCAATAAGGCGATTGGAACAAATACAGAACCTCAGTGATATTTATTACAGTGATGCTATTTTACGCAATAGGTTTTCACAGTTCACAACTTGTTCAGTCAGTCTCACAATCGATAAATTTTCATTTCCTTGATTAGCGTATCAGTCGTCTAAAATAAATTCAAATATTGTGATCTAGCATAGCTATTCAAATTTTATCAAATTGAGCAAAATTTGTGCAATGCTAATTCTGTTGTAACACCATATGATGTCTTTATAAATCTACAACCAACTGCTGACCTTCACAAATCAGCATACCAGTTGATGTAGATTATTTCAATTGTAGTCAAATCACACCACATTGAAATTCTGTGTGATCATCCACTGAGTCTGATCAGTCAACTGATCAAACATTCAGTAATCATTTAGTACACTCAGCGAATTATCCTCTGAGAAGTGATGCCAACATTCTCCCTCAAATCCAAATCAATTCACCTAAAAAACAATTCAGACAGCAGAAACAGCAATATACGATTTCAAGTTAACGCTGAATTTCAATCAATATATGAAAGTGCTGTTATTTATCGCAACAGTTTCCTAAGAGTACACAAATTGTTCAGCCTCACAATCGATTGTTGACTTTTCGTTGATTCGCATATCAGTCCTAAACAATCTGTTCAGACACTGTGAAATTGCCTCACATTTCACAGTTTCTTAAATGTTGCGATTTATTCGTAAATGAATTGAAAACGAGACCATCTGGTTTATTGACTATATTACAGCCAACTGCTGACATTCACAAATCAGCATACCAGTTGATGTAGATTATTTCAATTGTAGTCAAATCAAACAACTCTGAAATTCTGTGTGATCATCCACTGAGTCTGATCAGTCAACTGGTCAAACATTCAGTATTGTCTTAGTACACACTGCGAATCATCCGGTTAGATGAGTCGCGGACATTGAACTTGAAATACAAAGGAAATATCAGTTAATCAGTTCAGATTGAGGAAAGAGCAATAAGGCGATTGGAACAAATACAGAACCTCAGTGATATTTATTACAGTGATGCTATTTTACGCAATAGGTTTTCACAGTTCACAACTTGTTCAGTCAGTCTCACAATCGATAAATTTTCATTTCCTTGATTAGCGTATCAGTCGTCTAAAATAAATTCAAATATTGTGATCTAGCATAGCTATTCAAATTTTATCAAATTGAGCAAAATTTGTGCAATGCTAATTCTGTTGTAACACCATATGATGTCTTTATAAATCTACAACCAACTGCTGACCTTCACAAATCAGCATACCAGTTTATGTAGATAAATTCAATATTTAGTCAAATCACACCACATTGAAATTCTGTGTGATCATCCACTGAGTCTGATCAGTCAACTGATCAAACATTCAGTAATCATTTAGTACACTCAGCGAATTATCCTCTGAGAAGTGATGCCAACATTCTCCCTCAAATCCAAATCAATTCACCTAAAAAACAATTCAGACAGCAGAAACAGCAATATACGATTTCAAGTTAACGCTGAATTTCAATCAATATATGAAAGTGCTGTTATTTATCGCAACAGTTTCCTAAGAGTACACAAATTGTTCAGCCTCACAATCGATTGTTGACCTTTCATTGACTCGCGTATCAGTTCTAAACAATCACTTCTGATATTATGAAATTGCCTACCATTTCACATTTTCTTATTCGTTGCGAAAATTCGACAAATGAATTGACAAATTTAACTATTTCGTTCATTGTATGTACTACAGCCAACTGCTGACCTCCACAAATCAGCATACCAATTTATGTAGTTAAATTCATTATTTAGTCAAATCACACCACATTGAAATTCTGTGTGATCATCCACTGAGTTAGATCAGTCTACTGATCAAACATTCAGTATTGTCTTAGTACAAATTGCGAATCATCTGCTTAGATATTTCGCGTAGATGCAACTTGATAAACAAGAGAATTATCAGTTAATCAGCTCAGATTGAGGAAAGAGCAATAAGGCGATTGGAACAAATACAGAACCTCAGTGATATTTATTACAGTGATGCTATTTTACGCAATAGGTTTTCACAGTTCACAACTTGTTCAGTCAGTCTCACAATCGATAAATTTTCATTTCCTTGATTAGCGTATCAGTCGTCTAAAATAAATTCAAATATTGTGATCTAGCATAGCTATTCAAATTTTATCAAATTGAGCAAAATTTGTGCAATGCTAATTCTGTTGTAACACCATATGATGTCTTTATAAATCTACAACCAACTGCTGACCTTCACAAATCAGCATACCAGTTTATGTAGATAAATTCAATATTTAGTCAAATCACATCACATTGAAATTCTGTGTGATCATCCACTGAGTCTGATCAGTCAACTGTTCAAGCATTCAGTATTCAGTTTGTACACTAAGCGCACCATCCTCTGAGAGGTGATGCCAACATTCTCCCTCAAATCCAAATCAATTCACCTAAAAAACAATTCAGACAGCAGAAACAGCAATATACGATTTCAAGTTAACGCTGAATTTCAATCAATATATGAAAGTGCTGTTATTTATCGCAACAGTTTCCTAAGAGTACACAAATTGTTCAGCCTCACAATCGATTGTTGACTTTTCGTTGAATCGCATATCAGTCTTATACAATCACTTCAGATTTTTTTAAGGCTGTCTCACATTCCACATTTTCTTAAGGTAGCGGTGTTTGTATTATACGAAAATAGATTTGAGGACATTTGTTTGATTGACAATTCTACAGCTGACTCTTAATCATCACAAATCAGCATACTATTTGATGTTGACAAATCTAATTGTAGTCAAATTATTCCACTTTGATATTCTGTGTGATCATCGAGTCAGTCATATCAGTCAATTGATCAAACATTCAGTGTTCAATTCGTACACGCTTGGTAAGTTCATCTGAGATATGAAGCGACCCTTCTCCCTCATATCCATATTATATATCACAAATATCAGGACAGGAGAAGTATAAATATGCGACTTCAAGTTAACGCTGAATTTCAATCAAAATATAAAAGTGCTGTTATTTATGGCAACAGTTTCCTAAGAGTACACAAATTGTTCAGCCTCACAATCGATTTTTTACTTTTCATTGATTCGCTTATCAGTCTACAAAAATCCTTTCATATTTTGTGAACCTCCGTCACATCACATTGAATCTTTTTGTGATTTTCCGTTTATGAATGTTTTTGTGGTCTTCTATTTTGATCTTCAACGGTCATTGAAAATTTAAAATAACCTTTTATCATTGAAGGAAACTGATTTTCGTCATCATACTTATGTTCAATTTTCGAGAAACACCTAATTTCTTTCAAACATATTTTAGTTTTTGTTTTTCATGCAATTATTTACTGAGACTACACTTGTTCAGACCAACAATTCATTGTTGTCTATTCATTTATTCTTCAGAAAATCTGCAATAATCATATCATCTTTTGACTAGTGTACTTGCAATTGACATTATTCTAGAAATTTCACTGTTTGTGGAATTCGGAATGAGAAGTGAGACTCTCTGTACTCTTGGTATCTCTACACCGAAACGTTCACCTTCACAAATCAACATACAAGTTAATGTAGATAAATCTAATTGTAGTGAAATCATGACACATTAAAATTTGGCTAGGTCATGTGGAGTTTGTGGTTTTGGCAATTATTTCAAAATCGCACCTGTCAATATTCACTAGGAATTATTGACAGTAACATGTTTTCTTCGAAATCCTATGTTCTTTATCAAGTGTGTTTTCTATGACCTGTTAGTCAGAGCGGAGTTTTATATTTTTATTCGTGATAACTGATAATCCGATTATTATCACCTCTCTCGTATATATATATATATATATATATATATATATATATTGTTGCGCTTTTGATTGCAGTAATTTTTTGATTTACTGATAGACGAAACCTATTTTTTATTCAACTATGCAATTTTTTCTCTCAACACACTCAATTCTATCATTTTTAAACAAATATGATAGAACTGGTCTCATTTATAAAAGCAATTTGTTACACTCCGAACTCATCAGTTATCTAGGTAATTGAGATTCATTACATTATCTTTTTTTTCCGATAATCAGACATCACATTGGAATATTTTCTTTTTATTAAACCCCTCAATGATGATATAAAATTTCTTTTTTTTTTACCCTAGTTCAAATTTGTAGCGGATCTTCTATCGTGTATATTACATAACTTAAGTGTTACCTTCCTCAGAATCTGTACAATCGCTTTGTCAGTTTATTTGTATATTTTTGTAAGTTTCATCTTCAATGTTATTCTACTTTTTTTCACAATATATATAACTTAACTTACATTTATAACTCATCATTGAAAAACTCGTCATCATTACTAATTCTGTTATCTCCATAGATACCTTTCAATACTACCGATAAAAAAGGCTCAACTGTCCTCTTTACACATGAAAGACGATTGCGGCATTTTACCATGATATTACATCTCATTCCAATTCACCGAAATGTCATAAAAACAACAGCCATCGGGAATCAGAATGAAACTGTACCATTCGATAAGTGAATATCACAGACTTTGTATCATGGATCACAAATAACTTCACAATCATTCTACAACTACAGCTACTACTACTACTGCTACTGCTACTATCATTTCAGTGCAAACATCAGAACTCCCTTCCGATTTCCGACACTCACTTTGTTACACGAAACTGATTTGCTAAAAATTAATGTCTGTCAAGTATAAACTCAATACTTATCACTATTGGTATAGAGAAAGAGGTTGTGTCTAAACATTCATCAAAATGATCCAATCGGTACTAACTGAAAATGAGTGACGGAAATTAGCGAATCACTATCACATCAAAAACATATAAATTGCGCAGAAACACGAGCATTATCATAAGAAAAATGTACCATACAGTATTATTTTACTTCACCTTGATTGTTGCAAGTTTAAATGCTGCGGAGGAAGAACGTAAGTCACAATTACTTGTTTTCTAAATATCCACTGTATAATTCATGTTTATAATAGTTTCAGAAGTATGTAGTAGAATAATGCTATTTTCAGTATTCCCAGTAGATCATTTTAAATAAAGCATTGAGAATAAGGTTTATGAATAACAATACGTTTTAAAATCACAGACTTTGATTGTCAGATGGAACTATTTTTAGAAGTGTAGATTTCAACCACTGTTCGGAAGCGCTAATCATGTTGATGCGATGTAACAGATTGAACTTAAATTGCATTTTATATTGACATCAACTCACATCATCGCTTACCATGAAACCAGACTATCACCACTAATAGATAGTGAAAATCCACTATTTAGTGATTTGGCGAACATAATCTGTATAAGTATTTTACAAGCTTAGACATTGTTAACTACGTAGTATAACTGTCATCTGGTAGGGTTCGTCACTAAGTATGCTTGAGGCTATTACGAGTTTACCTTAGTCGATAGACGAGAACGAGACTTCATCAGCATCCACGTACGCTACCTTGAATCCCCAGGCTGAAGTAATAAGACTTTGTATATATATATATATATATATATATATATATATATATATACATCACAGAAACGTCCTACTGACAGTTGAGAAAATAGCACACTAAAATACACAGCAGCCAATCACAGCCATGGATTTTCCTGGTGGGAACTGAAATATCAAGGTCAACCGATCGGCCCCGTGCTTGCAAACGTAAATACCAAAATAAGGCATTCATCATGCGAATTTTGGTGATCTAACATCCCCAACACACGTCATTGGTCGAAATAAATGTGTGTAACTATAATGTTACTTAAAAACAAATATCATTTACATTGTACCAATGATTGTCGAATCAAGTGTATCAATCAAAATTTTGAATGTTCAATATATAAAAAATGACATAATAATGTAAATTTTTATTTAAAAACTGAGAATATTCATTTTTTTCAAATTTCATATGTTCACAAAAATCAGCTGCCATCGGTAAGTTCACTGATATCATTTAAACACTAAATTCAATATATCGTAAATTTAAGTATCCTCGGTCTAGTTGATGACAGATGCTCGAGGATTTTGAAGACATTCACAGAAATAATCTTTTTTAAATTAACAGTATAGCTTACGCCAACTGCATTCTAATCGTCAGCCGTGAATAATCATTCACCCATTCTGTTATTATTATTATTAGAACACCATTACCAATTAACAGGATTTTCAATTTTAAAATTATTCTCATTTCATGTAAAGCTCAACTACGAGGTAAGCTATATAATAATATAAATATTCCAATGAATAACTCTTCTCAATTAACAAATTTTCATAATTGTAATTAATAGCGCTTTTCATGAAATGAATTTAATCAACTCAGTGGAAATTCCACAATTCACGAATTCATTCTCAATTGAACTTGACTGCATTTTAACACAGCGGATTGACTTTTTGCCTATTGTCATATTTTAATAAAATACTTACTACTGCACACACTACATCTGACCCTCTTCACATTATTATTGATGTTTATGGAATGAATGTGTTCTGGGTAAATAAAGCTTTCATATAATTACTATTCACTTGAAACTAAACCATTGATCACACATAGACTTTACTGCAACGATGAATATCAGTTTGGTAACATGAGTCAACTATTGACTTCAGTAGGGAAAACTCATGGTCAGCAATAATTTTATTAGGCTCAATAAGTGTTTAATTACACCTGATTTCTCATCAACTTTGATTTACTTGTTATGTACATTTTATGATATTTCAACGATAGTTTACAAGTATTCACTCCATAGTTGTTAATAATTTAAAGTGTTAATGCTGTGGTTTTCATTTCTATTTTGTACTGAATCTTTAACTTCAGCTAATCTTATGGGTAGGTTATTTACTCTTAGTTTTATAATTATTACTTCTCGATCCCAAATCTAATATATTGTTGAAAAACGATGCTTATGACTGTTATCAAATAATTTTATTAGGATTTATTGATACAACTATTTGATGATTTTGAATTTTCGCACAATTTATTCTCATTCAAACAATTCACACTGATATATTTTGAATGAATACACATTGAACTATTCTGTGAATGGTCATGAAATAGTTCAGTTCAGTTTTGTTTATTATATATCTGGAATATGCAAAATGATTAGCATTAACTTAACTATTTCTTCATACAAAACCAAACAACGCTAAGAATCAACAAATCCACATCAAATACTCACTGAAATAAATAGGAAATATGTTGAATGTATCACTAGTAAGATCAATTCCGGCACTTATTTTTTTTTATCTAAATTTGAATTTTAAAAACAAATTAACAAGGAAAATTCAAAAAAGGTAAGTAATTCACTGTTGTCTTGAATAAATGCGATAGTTAAATAATATTGAGAAGACTGAGTCAAACGCTAAAGATTGTATTATGCAAATTTAGACTCTTAGTCAATTAAAAACGAAAACATTACATTGAACACTCTATTTGCACACCATCTTTGAGTCGTGACTTCCAACACTCCATCCTTCTTCCATTCCTGCTGTTGCTTTCTTTACTTCCTGTTGGTACTCCATTTACTTCTTGCTTTTGATCCAGTTGCTTTCCGTTTTCCTCTTCTGACCGTGAGACTTCTTTAGCGTCCCTTCTTATACTACTTATATCGTTGATAAAAGAAGCACAAACCACAATATGTGCGGTAATTTTTCTACCACTTAAATAAACTTATCTACTTTATGTGACAGCGTGTCAAGATAAATTTTAAAAGATGGTATTAACTGACAATACGCTTGGTATCATAGTGAAGAAAACAAAAGAATAAAAGAATTTTTAAAGACATTATTATCCTGGAGATAAACGCTCACCACTATGATAACAAATGAAATATAGTGATGAATTGCTCAAGATGTACATCTGGATACCGGATGATGGTAGAATATCAACTCCGTTAATAAAATTACTTTTACCGATGTACCGATCGACTACATCCTTATGAACGTATTTATAATTAACATTTTACGTAGCACTGCCGAGTAACCGTAAGTTGACAAATTAATCTTGAAAGCCTCTTCATTCTCTCCAAATCACAATCAGCTTAAAAATAAAAGTCTATACGTAATTTTAACTTTACTTAACTTCTTCCTTCTATGAAAAATTATTGAAGCTGAACATGGTAAGTCATTATTTCATAGTTTGATATTATGTACCACTTAACTCATAATCGCTACATCGTTTCACACTAGAAATAAATGAGTCATAAAATGTACTTCAATAAACAATTTCAAGTAGATGACTAACGATGTCCAACTGTTTAGTTCGTATTTCTCATCTTATTGCAAGCAATCAGTAGAAATAAAGCAAGCAACTATTTTTTATTCGTCCGAACGAAAAGCTAACACTCTAGGTATATCGACTGCTACGTATATTAGTGAGATTCTCAATTTTATTCTGTGATGATTGTTTTGGAAATAATTTATCGAAAATCATGAGTATTTTAACTTATGATCAGCAGTCTACTGCATTTTCACCTGTTGTTCCGCTTTCTTTTCATGATACTTAGCCGTGTGGGGGGAATTAGAAAGAACTATTGGTAGGTTTTTTAATTGTGAAATAGTAAACGTGTGGCGTATAAATTTCTTTGTTGATCTATGTGCGCAAAATTTATTTACATCTCAGCATTACGCAATCCATGTATTTAGGCTTACCACAGCTTTAGCAGTGGTAGAACATCATAAATGTGATTTGTAGTTAGCCATCGCAGATATAGTCGTCATATGAACACTGAAAAAATAGTTTAATTGGCATGTTCTGTGCTTGAATTCTGTGTTCATATTAACCCTACATTGAAATGGTATTGAAGAAGGTGATCTCGACATCCATCATTTGAAATACTAAACTGTTTTCTGATTCAAAACTAATAACAGTTTTCGACAAATGTTCCAACTTTTAAATTTACAGCGAACGTAGAAAAACAAGTCAAAATTCTGAAAAATGATGCCAAAATAAAAGAAGCAATAAGTAAGCGAAATACGTGCTAGTGCAAATTTATTTACTGTACGTGAGTGAATATTTTCAGCAATTGATATGTCAATAACATAGCCTAATGCATAAGATATCCACATTTGTGTGTCAGACTGACAGACAGATACAACGGAGAACTTCGTACATAAGTACATCAGTTCAGGCTGCAATACTGCGTCAGCACCGAGACGCAACCGTCAGTTAAATTCAAGAGTGATAATGATAGTAGAAGTATTAGCAATAATGGAGAAGATAAGGGTCAGCAAATATGATTCGAATAGTATGCTTCAGTGAGATAAATTTAGAAGGAGAACGATAGAGATGACAAAGAATTCAGTAATTTATAATTAAAAGCGCACAAAGAGTGGCTGCATGTGCGCCATTGCAAACGATTCTGAGCCATGTCGTTCAAGGTCTCTAACCATTGGTGACTTTATTCTGGCAGACCCCAACAAGGTAGCCTACATTTGCCAACATGACCCAGTCAACTTGTCAGTAACTTCATTGATTTCTGACATTTTTTGGTGCTTTCAGTCACATCGTTCTATAATTGATCTGCCTGTCATGGTAGATCCTTCTGGAACATATCTTCTAGCCAGTATAGCTATGTTGGGTCATCACAATAAGCAGGCCCGACCACCACATCAAGGCAGCAGCTACGGTCGGGTTTGTGTGTCAGATTCTCGTTAAATGCTTCTGAATATACGAACTGAAATATAACTGTGCAGAAAACCATACAGACTAGTGTGATCAATTCTGAAAGATGACGTTAGTTATACGAATGTCTAGATATCGATATTTTAATAATGAGAAGCTAATTTGATTGTACATTGTAACGCGCGTTGAGTAAACTTTATTCAACTACTTAGTTTCCCAGGTGTCTTACTGAAATTATTTTTCCAGTAATTCATTTGTGAAATTTTGAAAACAACAAACCATAACCTAAGTTCACTGTACAGCTGTTTCTTATTGGTGCTCACACATAAATCCAGCAACAGACAAAACAGATTAGGAATGCTCTTTGCTGAGATTTATCATTTTGATCAGCAAGGGATTAGCACTGCAAACATGACATACCTCTCATACTCAAATAATGATTTGTTTATTGAACTGGTCGGTAAACTGAATACATTCTTGTATACAAATTTATCTATCCTCATTCCAGGTGAACTTGAACAAAAACTATCCAACAGCAACGAACAAATCAGCAAATGTATGTTAAAAGTAATGACGTACCGATAACGCCAATTTCATGATTGATTTTAGATGTGAAATGTATAAATGAACACGAAAAAGCTCAATCCTATTCAACATTTATCACAAGTATGAGCAGACATTTAAAACAAACCTTTGTTCACCTACACATGTCATGTCGATTTATGTCATTGAAAAAATATACAACATTTTGCCGATATAATTCAAACAAGTTTGGTATTTTACGTATCAGATGAAAGTTTCATTGATAAATTTAAGTCAGCATTTTTATTTAAATGTTTTAGTGATGAAATTCAAATTCGAATTCGGAAATCTAGCGACATGTATGAATTTTTTATATTGGTGATTGATAATAAACTGATGAATGCACCCTCAATATCAAGATATTTCATCATACTTGTCAATATGAAATAAGCAGCGCCCATCCGTGACTACTGCACCCCGCAGGGTTACGAACCCAGGACCTTTGGTGTTGTGCACGAACGCCCTACCCGTTAGACCACTGAGGCGGCGTCTGACGGTGTTAATGTCTAACTTGAATAAATTCAGAGAGTTGCGCAACCTCATATCCTGTATACATCCGGACAGGTTTGAACTTCACTGGTCACGGCTTCCCACTAGAACTCTGAGAAGATTCCTCACCAACCTAGTCACTAGTGGACACATGAAATTGCATTGCGGGGTTGTTGTGGAAATTGGTAAGTATTATTCGTAACCATGAATCGATCGATGTTAGACCGCCATTAGAAACCTGGAAGCTCTGGACGGCCGTTTCGTCTTGGTATGGGACTCATCAGCGGGATTCAGGAGTCGTGGATGAGTACTGCTGAAGAGTCTTATACCAGGACGAAACGGCCGTCCAGAGCTTCCAGGTTTCTCATGGTGGTCTAACATTGATCGTTTCATGGTTACAAGTAAAACTTAATAATCGTCAAAACAACCTCGCAATGCAAGATGAAATAACGTTTTTGGACAATGAGTTTATTCGCAATTATCTAAAGGCCGTTTTACACGTGAAAATGATAAATCTATGATTTGAGGAGCAATTCACCATTCTATTTATTGCATCTCATTATTTCCTCTCTTTATACTTCTTGTTTGATATCTCTGTTGTTTACATTCATTTTATTTCATATATTTTTATCAGTTTCTGATTATTCGAATTTGAAAAAATGCTTCGAGAATAAACACAAAGAAATAGGAGGTCAGTAGAAATATTAATAATGATGAGTAGCTATAAATATTTTCATTTATTCTTTCGAATATTGCGAGAGAAATCAAATTTCTGTCTTCACTCATATATATTTACTTTCCGTTGAATCGAAAGTCAGAATTATCTTTACAGACTGAAGATCATTAGTACTCACCTACAGATTGAATGAAAATTAACAATGTCAAACTGAAGAATAATTTACATTTGTTTGTTTTTCAACCAAACTTCCGAAATATGACGGAAGAAAGGTGAATATTCACCGTTTAAATATTCGATGAAAAAAAATTTTTTGGATTTACTGTTTGGGATAAAAAATATTCAATGTATAGTTGGTTTGTTTCAAATCACATTCGATTTTAAATATATCGAAATGTATACTCCATTTTATTGAGTTAGAAAAAAAATCGAATTGATTAATGTCAAGAAATCATTTTAACTCGGTGAAATGCATTTATTTTATGTCAGTGATCAGGAACCAAAACAAACAAACCATATAAAATTTACAATCGAATGACTTTAAAGATATCAGATACTTAGAACTCACTTTAGGCTTTCACGCATAAGATTACAATTTCCACCCGGATATTCCTGGTCTGTCATTAGTTGATCGGTTATTTTAGTATGCTTATTTTGTGGCTCTCACAAGGATGTTACTATCAAGTATAAATAAACTCGATTTGTTTGCTTGTTGACTTGTTGATTTTCTGAGTGCTTGTAGATTACACTTTCTACGTCTTGTCGAGACTTCTCATTTTATTCATTGGAGGGTCGTGGGGCGTCACATTAACACTTGTTTTGGCTCTCGTTTACTGAATAATATGAACTCGTAATAGTTTAAAAAGACAAACATAACGATAACATAGTCTTAAATTTTAGTGCACACCTTAAATTGACTTTCGAGCATTAGAGTACCAGAGCCTGATGACAAATTGATTGAAAGTCATTTGTCGCTTAAATATTCTTCTGTTCAAAGTATTCGTCACAGGCTTCAAATAACGGATATATTTGATTATTAATCTATCAGTTTGAAGTTATAACTAGTGTAGTGGGAATATATTGGTACGAAACCAGTACAAAAACCACTTGTTACAGTAAAATTATCAATTTCATCTACATTTTTGCATTCAGATTTATGTCAACTGTTGAAATAAATACGGCTGATATTGCCAATCAATATGGAAGACATTCACAATTTATTGAATCGAATAATTTTCAATGTACATTATGTTTCACATATGACCAAACATCCAAAGAGAATCGAATGATTATTTCACTTAAATTCCAAAGTTATAACTAATTTCAATAGTAGTTTGTAGTCTGCTTGCAAAATCAATGTAAATGATGGAGAAATATTAATTACATTCTTTTGAATTTATTTTGCAGTGAAGAGAACTGTAAAGTCTCATCGAGCTTGCAAAAACTGGATAACATTGTCTAAAGAAGGTAGTTTAACCATATTATAATATTTATGCTGACAAAGCGAAAAGCGTTTGAACGAAATTTTGTCTGCATAATTTAAAAAAGCCAGTTATTATTGTCTCCGATTATCATAAATTCATTGTTTGTTTGTTCGTTGAAGCGTTCAGTAACATGCCTTCATGAAAAATCCACCATCTCTCTCTTTCTATCACTAGATACCAAGAATCTGGATACTCTTATTTTCAAGAAACACAATGATTTGTTTTTACTGAACGCCTTATTATGTGAGTGCAAACTACACGAAATCATAATTTTTTTAAGCGCAATTTTTGAGAAAAGAAAAAAAGATTTACATAGACTTTGGAATCGTTGTAACATTAAACTTCATCAAAGTGTCTTCCTTTTAGACATAAATCATTGACGAGAATGATGTCACTAGTTTTCAAAATAGTTGATAATCCTCAAATATTAATGCTTTTACTAAATACAAAGAATTTTTTATCATTTGTTTGATTTTTAGTTGACTGCGAATTGTATTCTCGAAATGTTATTCAAACAATTAATCTATTTGAAGGAATGAACCGTAAATAAAATGAATTTCTATTTTTTTCTGTTTTATAAATATCAGACGTTTATATATACATGACATGCGTTCACGTCATTTCTTTCAGCGCAATAAGTCCTAATTCTTGAGATTTTATTGAGTCACTTGTTTATTTTATTTGTTTATAAGCCACAACTCACTGAAATTTATGAAGTATTTTGATTCCTTTCCAGGCAAACGTCAATTCTGATCAACATCATATTTGGAAGTGTTCATTATTAATAATGATTATCCTAATAACTGAACTATTTTGCTTATAACAATTGCTTTCTGTAATAACAATTAAATAATTTATTTATTAACAAATTCGTAATATAAACAATGCAAACTCTAAATGAATTTTTTTGTTTTTGCAAGTTTTAAACACTGCACCAGAATTATGAAATCATTTTCATATGAATTAAATGTCATTTAGTCATATTTAAAGTCGAGTTCCGTTCAACTACTGATGCGAGAGCAGCTGCTGTTTCTAAAACGCATGACAAAATGAAATGTGAAAGTAATATAGTAAAAAACATGCATTTTGAACAATAATTGACTATGATATTCCGACTAGTTCAACATGAAATCAGTCTGCTGAATTCGACTTCTAAATAAGTCCTATTCACTAGTAGAACAAGACAGTGATTGAACAAACGTAACAAATTAAAAAGTAAACCTATTTATTTATTTGACGAGAAGATAAGATACCTGTTCTCCATTCGATGTTTCGCTAAAATGAATACTGTACAGTTAGCAGCAATAGGCGTTTAGGGAACAGTTTGAGATTAGTAAGAATGCATGCCAACCAAATAAATGAATTAGCTTCACCGTACTTTTTGAAGATAAGTTATACATTTCGATCGCGTTTTGTTAATCCGGAAGTAGATCAAGGAAATTTCTTGTTCCAGCTTGCTGCATCTCAATTCCGTAATATAACATATACGGGATATTTGACACTCGCAATGAGTTTTAATTTGACTCTATTGCTTTATGTTTCCATATTTTTTGAGTGATAAATCCTATGAGAGCTTCTTCTAAAATGAATAGCTTGGCAAGGTGCTCAAATTTTGTTCATCTTAGGAATATTGGACTAAGTTTAAGAGAGATGTTTATAAATTTATGTTGAAGTACACTGGAAAAAGCTGCGTATGCTTCGAAATTGAGGTTTTCTCTTCTAACTTTCGCTGACACTAGGAAGTCATCAAGCATTTTGGACAAACTATTCGAAAAATAACTCATCCCGAAAGGCACAAAAGCTTTCTCTTTTCACTGGTCAACCATCCGAACACTCATTTGAAACATCACAGAAGTGAAATATGACATTTCTTCGGGATACCGTAAACCTGAACGACTTCAATTTAGACCTAAGCAATAATTTTCAGGTCTTGCAATACCTACTCGATCGGGAGGAAACAGCTTTGGAGAAAAATTGGAAAGCAATCAAGGAGGCAATCACTTCAACATGTCAGAAGGTCCTAGGTAACAAGAAGTACCATCAAAAGGATTGGAAGTCTGTTATTAATCTTGAGAAAATTGAAGAAAGGAGGAACAAGTAGGCCGCAATCAATGTCAGCCGAACAACAACAAAGAAAGCTGATTAAACAGTAGCAAATAGAAATCGAAGAAGAGCATCAGAGCTGACAAAAAGAAATATGTGGTGGACCTAGCGATGACGGCGGAAAAGGCTGGAAAAGTAGAAAATTTTGAGACAATTGTACGAAACAACAAAGAAGAAAGCTGGCAACATTGATAATGCATAATGATCAGTGAAAAGCTAGGAATGCGAAATCATCAGCAACACTGAAGAACAGCAAAACAGTTGGGTAGAGCTTTCTAAGGATCTCTTGAATTGAACAGCTCAACTAAACCTACCCAACATCGAAGCAGCATCTACGGACCTCCCGATCGATATTGATGCACCTACAATTGAGGAGATCGGCATGGCAATCAGAAAAATCAAGAGCGGCAAATCAGCAGGACCAGACAACATTCCAGCAGAGGCAATGAAAGCAGACGTAGAAGCAACTGCGAAAACATTCCACATCCTCTTAAACAAGATTCGAGATGAGAAACAAGTATCATCAGATTGGAAAAAAGGATACCTGATCAAAACACCAAAGAAAGGCAATCTCAGTAAGTGTGGGAGCCACAAAGGCAACACTCTTCTCTCAGTACCAGACAGATTCCTCAAAAGGCACTTTGTAGACGCCCAACTTCGAAACTAACGGGCTGGGTTTCGAAAGGGTCGACTGTTTACCGACCAGATGGCAACATAAGTGATCATTTTGGAGCATTCAATTGAATGGAAATTATCACACTATAACAACTTCATTGACTAAGATAAACCATTCGACAGCGTTAACAGGAATTCACCATGGAGTCTACTTCGACACTACGAGTGCCCGAGAGACTAGTCAAAGTCGTACGGAATTCTTATGATGGCTTGAACTGCGAAATAGTACACGGTAGACAGCCAACAGACACTTTCGAAGTGAAGACCGGTGTTAAGCGAGGTTACTTACTCCCACCCTTTCTCTTTCTCCTGGAGATCGACTGGAATATGAAGGCGTCAGCATCTGGAGGGAAGGACGGTATTCAGTGTACTGCTAGGACGTAGTTAGACGATTTGGACTTCGCAGATGACCTGTCTCTTCCATCGCTCAGGAAAAAACAAATGCAAGAGAAGACGACCAGTGTAGCAGCAGCCACAGAAGCAGGTCTCAATTTACATGAGTGAAAAAGTAGGATTCTACGATACAACAAAAATGCGCTAATCAAATCACTTATGATGGAGATTCTGAGGAAGACGTTTACACCTTTAGTCATCTTGGCAGCATCATCGATAATCGAAGTGTATCCGATGCGGATGTAGAGGCTCGGATCAGCAAAGAAACAGCTACATTTCTAAAGTTGAAAAATATCTGAAACCACAAACAAATTTCAACGAACAACAAAAATTAGGATTTTTGATACAACTTTCAAGATAGTTGTTCCCTATCGAGCAGAAATTCGGAGATCTGCCAAAGCCATCATCCAGAGGATACAAGTATTTACGAAAAGTTGTCTCCGCAAAATACTTCAGATTCGTTGGCCAGACACTATCAGCAACAACGTACTGGAGGGGGGAAAACCAGATTACAGTGGAGGAGGCACTCAGTAAGATGCTGTGGAGTTGTTGGATAGGACACATCGCGATAACCGCCGAACTGCTTCTTAAGACTAGTTTCCATGTAGAATTATTAGAGCCAAATGAAAAGAGGAAGGACAAGTAACACAATACGCCAAAAGGCATGAGAAGAAAGAGAAAAGACTAGAATGAACAGCCCATGACAGAGTTGATGAGAGAAAACTGGTCGTCGGCCTGATGTTTATTGGTTGTAACAGCCATAAAAAAGGTGAGTAAAATATATATTCTTGGTTCTGTAAATACGAATATATATATATATATATATATATATATATATATATATTGCCTCTACCGCTTGTATAACATTGAAAGTATTTCAAGTCTAGCAAGACCATATAGTGCCTCCACGTTTATTTGCATTCGCTTACATTTAATTTGGTCAAGCCTTTCATATAATTTATTTATCCAAGACATTTGCATAACTTTAACTTATATGTACCATTGTCTTTTATTATTGTGTGGTTTGTATGAGCTGGTATGACTGAACATCGCTTAACGTCTACGCGCATATGCTTCCTGTTGGCTTTAATAATAATCTCCTAAATATCACGATGACTCAGATATCTTTCTTTGTTTATTAACGAACATTTGAATTTCATTCATTCATTCGTCTATTCGCATATTCGCTCGCTAGTGTGTCTGCTCGGTCCGCTTGTGATCTGCTATCCATTTTTGTGGTGTGCCACAATAAACGTATTCAATACTTCGAATTCATCTTCTGATTTATAAACCGTCAGACGCCATTTAGTAGCAATTGTCTGAACGAACCAATTGTGAAGATTAAGAACAAGTAGAAATCGGCCACCACAATCACTTCGTCGCCTGAAATGTTGAGGAGGAGTTATGTCTCGGTTTATATCAGTGCAGATATTACGGGTTTCTAAAAGTCCGCGAACGGTCAATTTGCGTTACTTAAGAGGCACTCAGTGCCTTCTTTCACCACCTGTTGCAGACCTGAAGCAGCAGCCATTGTCGGATTTTCAAACAAGTAGGTAAAATCAAGTTGTCTAGTTTTGTGAAGACTGGCCCCCGCAATTTAAAACCCTCTTAGTGCATTTATTCGATGAGACCATTATCTTCGTGTCTTGTGCTACGTTTCCTCAATAAGATCAATTAGGATTGATGTGGGTCTATTCTGACCTTCTCCTTTTTGCCTCCGAGATGTAGATCTACTGACGAAACACCTAATTTTAGTGAGATGTGTTTTCTCGCTCTTTAGGAAGCTTGAGGCTTCCCACTCAAGTCTTTCGGCTCTAAAGATTTGTTGTTCTTGATTTATAATACACTTGGCAGCCAACAATGTAAGTTCAACTTGCTGGTCGCTAGAATACTCGTACGTGATAGCTGCCGTTACTGCTAGAAGTCCTGTGAACCAACTTCATCCAAGTTAACATTAACCGTCTGATTACCAATGTGGACTCCCCTCATGCTTTGAATGAGGAGGATCTTTCACTGGCGGCTGATTATACTGATCACGATTTGAAGTTACTCACCCAGATCGACGGGAACAGTTTCCTAAGGATTTCTTCGGTAAATTGTAAATTCACTATCACAACATTCAATTGGGGTGGTTTTCTTTTAGCGACATTTTTACTTTTGCAAGAACAGCAAAGTTTGAACGAGGTACTGCACATTCCTAAAAACTGCGCAGTACTCTTCACACCGTTCTTTATCAAAGGCATATTTATTTAGAACAAAGATAACTTCAACAGTGTTAGGTTGCATAAAATCATCAGTACTCGTCTAACGTCATTATCCCTGATCTATGGCCTTTGTTACTCTCATACACTAGTCCATACTGCTAACAGAAACCGTCGACGGTTTCTTCGGTGTATTAGTTCAAATCGCGACCACCAATTGTAGCTTTTTGAAAGTTTCCGTGCCTTTCAGGATTCATACTTTTGTTTAAGGTAACGCGCGCAGCTTCATAACTGCTAACATCCGAATTCAAGCCATTACATTCCTCAGCTTTTATGATGCAATAATTGGTAACAACACTACTCCTGAATGTGTTACCCAGT